GATGCTCATTTGTCAATGATAAATTTGAATACAGACAGCAAGGGACGAAGGGGATTTGTGGATGTTGAGGACCGACTCAAACAAGCAGAGAGAAAGATTCTGAGTTGGGAATCAGATCCGATGATGATATGGGATTCTGGGCCTAGGGAAGCTTCCGAGTATCTCGAAGCTGTTGATGAAATTCAGACACTGGTTGATGGTTTACAAGGGCTATCCGTGCATAAAAATAGGAAGCAGAAGGAACTTCTTAATCATGCAACGAATGTTTTGCAGATTGCAATGTCTAGGCTTGAGGAAGAGCTTATTCATATACTTGTTCAGCATAGGTTTGAGCCCAAACACGTCTTCTCGATCTACTCGAAGGGACGTTGTTTACGATGATGAGTCATTTGTTTCAGTTGAAGATGAACCAGCCGAGGAAACATCTAGCCAAAACTGCTCTAGCGATGAAATTGGTGAGGACATTGTAGATTTGGTGCATGCAGATGTAATTCCTGATATTAAGTCCATTGCAAAGGTTATGTTTACTTCAAATTATGGTCCGGAATTTTGTGAAGCTTTCATTGGTGTACTGAAAGAAGCGTTGAAGCAGTATTTTGCCATTCTTGAAACGGAGAAACTCAGCATCGAGGATGTGCTGAAAATGGAATGGACTAGCATGAGTAGCAAGATGAATAAATGGACCTGGTCCATGAAGATAATTGTCCGGGTCTATCTTGCTAGTGAAAATTGGTTATGTGATCTGGTCTTGGTGGACTTCGGATCTGTTAGTTCGTTTTGTTTTCTTGAGATTTCTAAGGCAACAATTCTTTGCCTCTTGAACTTCGGAGAAGCCGTAGCAATGGGGCCTCACTGAAAAGCTGCTTTGTTTGCTTGACATGTACGAGACTTTGGCAGGTCTTCTTCGAGACATAGATACATTGTTCTCGGGAGAGGCTACTTCTTTTGTTCGGCTCCAGTTCCATTAGCTTCTGGAGAGATTGGGTGGCTCTTCAATAGCAGCATTTGAGGCATTTCAAGCTGCTATTTCTTCTAATGGATCCTTTTATCCCTTCCCTGGTGGTGGTGTTCACCCTCTCAATAAATATGTAATGAACTATATCAGGATGTTCCCTGAATATTGCAGCACCCTCAATTTGCTTCTTAAGGACCAACATGCTGGTGTCTCGGAGCAAGTTACTGCGACAGATAATGGGCCAAATGTGTCTCTTTCAACTTCTTGTCCCATGGCTTGTCGCCTTCGATCAATCACAAGTTCTTTGGAATCCAATATTTATAGGAAGTCACAATTATACAAGGATGAGGCTTTACAGTATATTTTCTTGATGAACAACATCCATTATTTGGTTCAAAAGGTTAAGGGATCGAAACTCAGACTCTTCTTAGGAGACGAATGGATTCGTAAGCATAATGGAAAGTTTCAGCAGCATGCAAAGAACTACGAGAGAGCCACTTGGAGTTCGGTTATTTGTTTCCTCAAGGACGATAACCCGGGCACAAGTTCCTTGTCGAAATTGACCTTCAAAGAACAATGCAAGGGCTTTAGCATTGCTTTTGAGGAGGTATACAAAACCCAGACAAGTTGGAGTATCCCAGATCCTCAGCTCCGCGAAGATTTGCGAATTTCAACTTCACTTAAAGTAGTCCTTGCTTATCGAACTTTCCTTGGGAGAAACCCAGGTCATATTGAAGACAAATGCGTTAAGCATACAGTAGAACATGTGGAAAAATTGCTCTTGGATCTTTTCGAAGGATCACCAAGATCATTGCGCAATTCACGCAGATGGTGAACACTTAAGGTCATAAGTTTCGACCATTCTTTCTTTCTTTGTCACTCATTTTCCGTTTTCGGAATTTTCTTTTTCATGATAAAAATCTTGCTCGTCATAGATGTAAATGTGATTATAGTTAACATGTTATAGTACCAGCAGTTGGTTCTCTGATTGCATACAAATGGCTGAGCCCGTGGTTCTTTTGGCTTGAAAAATAACATGCTTAGCTATCCTACAAATGTTAATCAATACTTTTATGATAAATTCAGTCCTAGGCATATGATCCATCTCATTCTGTAGGTTGATTCTTGAGTTAGGATTGTTTGTTTTCTGGTAGCTTTTTTAAAGTATGCTTTCTACATACATCTACTCTATGTTACTTTGAGTCAGGCTCGGGTGTGTGTTTGGCACGAGAACTTAATTAAGAGTATATACATGTGAATCTGAAGCTTTCTTACCTTTCACGAGTGCTTTAAATTTCAAGTGGGACGCCATTGATGCCCCCACTTAGCTTCTCTAGGTTTAATGAAAGAGTAAAAGCTTCATATGATGCTGATGTAGCATTTTATATTATATTAATGCGTAGTCATGGATATATGTAGTTTTCATCATGGGAAAAGGACCTTCACATTGACGGTGTTAATGTGAATGTGCGAAATGCAAGTTATTGGTCAGTTAGGTACATCAAAGGATTTAAATAACGGCTTGACCCTAAATATAGGGCTCAAATTTTGTCCAAACACATTCGTATTTGAAAATATTAGAGACTCATCTCGGAGTACCCTTGCTACTTGAGACAAATTTGGCAACTCATTGCTCCACAATTGACTACTGGTACACTAGAAGTGCACATTCCGGGTCCTCTCAACCAAACTGTCTGACAAAGCTCTGTCAATATAAAATTCATCCCAACATCAAACATGCCTGAATGCATGTATTTACTTCTTTAAGAACTCCATTGTTGATCTACTTCCATTTTGATTTTAAAGGCATACATGCATTAGAGATCTATAATAAGTAACTCAAAACAATTTCAGCAACCATCTGAATGTGTGCATTTCGTTCAATTCCAAACATTTGCATATTTAATGGTTATAAATCAACCGAGGCTATTGTCAAGTTCCTAAATTTTCATCCTCAAAAGTCAAAAGCAACAAACGAATGCATTTCGAAACTGTTGAGGCAAGGAGAAAACTACACCATCGTACTAACTGAATATGAGATCTCCCGGAAGCTCTTAGTCTCTCCTTGGTTCCTTATATAGCCATAAGATCACCATAATTGCGCATTAGAAGAATTGATCCAGCGAATAACCCAGCAGCTCGCACCAGTTTCTGCAGAAGGGGGGGGTGAAAGAAACATAATTTCTCAGGAGTCAGGATGCAAATGGAGAACTCTGAGACATGATCACACTAAGAAGCAAACTTTCATTTCAAGTAATAGAAGTGAACTGATGAGAAGGTATCAAAACCTTTTAAACCATGTTCAAATTTTTAGACTGCTGGACGTGCACTGTTTTCCCTCAAGAACATGGTGAACAAAGGCTAAAGCGGAAGGAAATTACAAGAGGCAACATAGATCAAAATGCACAATTTGGATCTATTATAATCGGCGTTGCTCATAGAACCCTAAACAGTCAAATTCTTAACTTTTGACAACAATAAAAATGGGAAATGATCAATCGAAACAAGAATTGTATTTCTTATAATCTCTTTCGTATGTACAAACATCCACACACTGATGTATCCATGACCATAATAGTAAGTTTAATTCTTCAGAACCAAAATATTCATTTTCTTCTTCGCTGTTCCCCCCCCCCCCAATTTCCTCATATCAATGGAAAACACATTCCCAGAAACCCAAAATAATGTAAACAAAATCACATTAAAACGCAACCAAATCGAAAGGAATACCAAAGAAAAGGAAAAAGGGAAAAAAATGAGATACCATGTTTTGCGTCCAATTTTCCTCATCGTGGACTTGAGAGTGCAAGAAGCCTTTCACCTTTTCAAGAGAGATCATAGCGTCCGCCATTGCTTTGCTGAAAAATAATGCTTTGTTGCCTTAGTACTCAGAGGGTTTATTGGGGACTTACCGTTAGAGATTAGGGTTTTATTGATGAGACTTGAGATTCACAACAAGACTCGTCCTTTTAGGTCAAATTTTGACATTAACATTGTTCTATGTATAGATTATAGAATTAATTTTTATATTTTAAATCGATTAATTTTAATCTTTCTAGTTTTTTGTATTTTAAAATTTCAGTCTTAAATAAAAATATTTTAGTTGTATCTACCTATATTATATAAAAATTAATTAAATATTAAAATTTTAATAAAATAGGGTAAAATACACAAATGGTCCCTCGAATGTAAGGTGTTGCTTTTTTGAGTCCTCTGGCTTTAAAAGTTACAAAATATTCTCCAATTATAGAGTATTGCTTTATTGAGTCCTTCGACTATTAAAAATTACAAAATGATTATATGAATATTCATATGTTTCAAACTCGTTATTTTCTATTTTAAAAATTAATGGTTGTTTGAGTTGGACGTTAACTTATATGATAAATTTATATTTTAATGATGTCTATTAGCATTGTCATTACTTTTAAGCACTGACTTGATGGCATAATGTTTCAAGTACTGACTCGATGACATATTGTAAACGGAGACTCGATCCACAAGTTAACGCCTAGTTTAGAAGACCGTCATTTTTTTTAAAAGGAAAAGGATAAAATTTGGAACACATGAATAGTCGGATGCCTATTTTGTAACTCTCAATGATATGGAAACTTTACAAAGCAATGCCTTATAGTTAGGTGACTATTTTATAATTTTTACTTATTGAGGACTTAATAAAACAACGTCTTATAATCTTCGATTGATTGTGTGCTTTACCCAACCCTTAAAGTTATTTTTAAAAATAATTTTATCTTATAAATTTTTTTAAAAATTAAATGTTATTTTTTCACTTTTATATAGTGTTATATTAATATAGTGAATTATCAAATAAATAAAGTGAATTATCATATCAGTATAATTAATAATTGTGTTATTATAATAACAACCAACATCGATCACAAAATTAAATTAATATATAATTTACAAGTTCGAGAGTTAATTAAATAATATTTTATGAAATGATTAAATTGATTTATTTGGTATGAGTTATGGGGGAAAATACCCTTTTCATGCCTATTTATTTATTTATTATTTTCGCAAGCCAATTTGGATTACCATTTTGAGTCATCTTCACAAAATTTCTCCGTCAAGAGACAAACTATCAATGGCGTCCAAAGTGAGCAGCTCCTCCATTTTCCAAAGCCTGAAACGGTACATCAAGAAGCCATGGGAGATAACCGGACCTTGCGCCGACCCAGAGTACAGGAGCGCTTTGCCCAAAGCCACGGAGTACCGTGTTCGTTGCCCGGCCACCACTTTGCAGAAGCCCATCGTTCCCACATCTGACCCCGAAACTGTCTTCGACATCAAATATTACGCCCGCGATCAACGCCGCAACCGCCCTCCGATCCGCCGCACCATCTTGAAAAAGGCAGATGTGGAGAAAATGATGAAAGAGAAGACCTTCGATGTCAACGATTTCCCTAAGGTTTACTTGACGGCCAAAGTTGAAGAAGATGATAATGCAATTGGTGGAGGCTACCAGAAATAGGTCAGTCAGATTATCGAATTTCTTAAAATTCGAGGCTTTATTTAGCTGTTTGTGATGTTTTAAGTTGTGGGTATTGTTTTTTTAATGATTTTTTTTTTATCTTTTAAAGATTTGGTCATTGGTTAATTTTCTGATTTGAGATGCGATGTTTGGTTTATCACTATTAGTATGTGTGAAGGCTTCCATAAGTAAGTTAGATGATCGATATTATTAAAATTTGAGGCTTTATTTGGCTACTCCTGATGTTTTAACTTTAAGATGTGGGTATTTATTTTTGTTAACGAACTTTGATGTTATAAAGATTTGGGTGCTGGTTATTTTTCCGCTTTGTGATGTGGTGATTGATTTCTCACTGTTGATGTGTGTGGAAGCTACCAGAAACAGATCAGATTATTATAATCCTGAAAATGATTTGAAGCTTAATTTAACTACTTGTGATATTTTAAGATGTGGGTATTTGTTTTTTTAGTGAATTTTGATATTTAAAGATTTGGGTGTTGATTAATTTTCTGTTTTGGGATATGGTGATTGCCTGATTGGTTTTTCACTGTTGGTCTGGTTTGGGTTTTTAGCAACTAAGGTTTCGTGTTCAATTTTATTGAATCTTGATCATGAGTTACTATATGATTGTGTAGAAGTGAAGATATTGAGGATGAATGTGATTTTCTAAACTATGTGGTTTTCAATGTTTTCCCTAATTTATTAGGTTCTAGAAGGTTTAGTTTTGGATGGATTTGGGGTTATCATGAGATTTTAAATGTTGCCTTAAGGATGTTAAAGTTTGAAGGTATATACTTCTACGAGATATTATATGTTGCTTTGATGCACTAGAGGTTGATGACAGTACATTTTTTCATGCTCAGCCTAGGTCTTTCTTCATAGTTTTTCATCTATGTGGTAATTAGACTTGCCCCTTGGGAATCTGTTGGGTCTTTTAGAAAGACTCAATCAAAGGGGGCACAAACAGTAAATCTTTTTTGTGGTAATCTTGTAAAATTCCACAGCCAGCTTTCATTTCTGATCTTCTGATGTTAGCAGTAAAAGTTATAGATCCCACTGCATGCTCTTATTGTTTCCACTTTATAAATTTGGATCCATAAAGCAGATTTTCTCTCTCTCTTGACTGCAATGCAAAATAATGCTATCAAGCATTTCTTTTGTCTTTGGTGGTGGACGCCTACGTGTGTCTTTGAATTATACCCACCATATTCTACAAGTTCAGTATCTACTTGTATTCATATTTGAACTTATGAAATAAAAGACCTCACTGTTTCTATGCTTACCGGGGAGAAGGATAGATAGAGCAGAGTGATGCAGTATGGTCATATATGATATAATAAGACTTTTATGTTGCCAGAAAAGGTTTATTTATGTTAGCCTATATTACTTGGACCCGGATGTGAATGCTGAATGTGGGTAGGTGTCCACTGTCCAATATGGGTATGTTTAATATTTTTCTTTCAAGATTTCCATGTATGTGGAGGGTTACACCCATGTTTGATATGCGTCATACACAGTTTCTTTAAGAAAAAATGAAGAGTTGAAGCTCTTTAGACTCTTTAATCGATATGTAATTCCAATACTTGTAATCTCATCTAGATTGTGTCTTTTGTTTTGTTACTAAAACTAATATTACCTACTTCTATATTGTTTCTGGCATGTGCTCAGGCCTCTGGGGAACATGTGGAATTTTTTAATGTGCCCCAGTTTTCTTTTGTCTTGCTCTCTTGTCGGCCTTTCGTGGAACAAATGCAGGCTATCTAAGCATTAGCTGTGTCTTGAGACTCTTGAAATTAAGGAGTGTGCAGTGTTCAACATTAATAAGGTTGTTTTCCTGGATTTTGTTTATTCCATTAATCGACATGTTTGCTTGAATGTATAAATCCAGATGCAACTGCAGTGGGATGATGGACGATGTGATTGATCGGTTCAATCTTGTACATTTTTCTTTTCTGAAAATCTTGCATACTGGTTCTATTAGTTATTTCTGCAATAAGAAATGAAAAATATGGAGCCTGCTCTTTTGTTCCTAGTTCCATTACTCCATGCTTCTATCTTTATTTTAATCTGAACCAGGTATGACTATTGTATATGGGTACATGTTTGACATAAATATGTTTCATTTCCCCTTTTTTTCGTGGAAATTGGAAAATAGAACAGATACGGTTGATCCATAAAGTTTTAATCTCAACCATCGGTGTAAACTCATTCAATGATTATATGGTTTGTTTTCCAACTGCGATGATACAGTTAAAATCCAATGTCGGATGACAAAATTTGCTTAAAACATGAGCATATGTGTAAAAGATCTCATATACTTTTTCATACATACATATGTGTATGGTTTCATAATCTGATAAAATGTAACATTTTTTGTGATATAACAAAGGACTGCAGTTCTTAATCTTATCCATGAATTATTGAACTTTCGTGCAAAGAAAAAAAAAATCAGAACAGAGGGAGAACAATGGTGAATGATGAAGAAATAACCAAGACATTTTGCGAACAGTTTACTTGGAAAACGGCTGACGCCTCCAACGTTGTTGTTGATTAGATTGCAAAACACCCCCTTAGCCGATCACGACCTCGTTGACTAAATCCTTGAAGACCAACCGTTCAACATCGAGAACCATCGTGGAAATATCGCGGTTGAAATCTGTCCAGCTTTCGGATCGACACATAACATCTTCCCACAAGATGCTTTTCAGACTATATTCCTCTTCGTCTGTGTTGCTGTTCGATTTATTGGCTTGAAGGAGCTCTATCTCCGTACAGAGTTCCTTCAAAAGCTTTTGTGCATTTAGGGTCTTCCTTGCCAACTTCCCGGAGTTCATCCAAGGCTCCGGAGAGGCTCCGGCTAAAGCTAACTTTCCAACAAGAATCTTGTTAACCAAATCAAATATAAGCCCCCGATGGAATTTCTTGTGATCTGGCTTTAAAAGCGAAACCTTTCCAGAGTTGCTATCTTCTTTCGCTAGCAAAGAGCTCGCTTTGGTTTGCTCCAAAACGAAGAATAGCTGTGGGTTGATGGGATGACCTGATGGATGGAGCTGAAGCATCGTGGAACCAGAACCTAGGTCTCTCAGTAGAAGGCCAGAGGCTAATAATATCTCAGAAATGTATCTGTGATCCGAATTTGCATTATCGCAAAGTGATGCAATGTAATCTGTACCGGCTTCATCATGAGTGGAGTTCAGTCTTCTAAGCTTTTGGACCAAATGCTCGATCTTCTGTAGTTTCTTGCGATTAATCTCCGAGACAGGACCAGACCCCACATTATTCAACAAGCAGTTATCTGCAGAGTTCCATTGCTCATCTTTGTGTCCGTCATCGAAACCTTCAGCAGCAATACCTGATACAACAGAGATATTAAAGTGAGATTCAGTTCATAGATCCCGAAACAAATGTAATCTCTCTAATATAAACCTAGAGACACATCATCTTGCATTGGAAAATACTAGAAAAATATGCATGCCTCTGATAACATCTTCTCATTCCATTTGATTCTTTGTTGTTTACATCGTGATTATTTTCTCTCTTTCGGTATCATCCAGTCAGGAAAGGGTATGAAAGCTTAAAAGTTACTCGGAATCACTCCATAACAACATTAGCAATGGTGGTGACCACAATGAAAGATGATGATGATAAAATTTCCATCATGTTGCCTTGTGCACAATGGAAATGCATTGCAGCCTAAAAACTAAGGTAACTACGAGGAAGAAGTGAGCGGTAAAGTTTGTAAAAAAAAGGTTGCCGGGATAAAGCAAATACGAATCTTCCTTTAATTCACAACAGTTTACATCCAAATAAGCACCGTAGAAAACAGACGTGTTACCTTCTGGGATGTTCAATATCTGCTTTACTGGTGATGAAGCATCATCTCTATAAACTGAGGTGTCAAGAACAGAAACCGGTCTCAGATGTTCTGGAGCAGCCATAGCAAGTTCTGCAACTGATCCATCCTCAACCAGTCTTGATGTTGATTTCTGACAAAATCAAAAGGTGCATGTAAGGTTAGGTAACCAAAATGAACAATTGAATAAATGGCAAAGACGAGATTTAATATAACCTACTTTCTGCATTATGCCAGAAGTCAAGTACTTGGCAGCATTCATGGATGGTCTTTGACTACTATTGGTTTTCATAGATCGTTCATGACTGGTGACTTCCATATCTAACTTGGACTCCAAGTTAATATTGCTGTCTGATTGCAGAGATATCTCATCTCCTTGGTGACTCGAAGTACATGATTCGGAACTTAGCCGACTCAGTTGGTCGTCACATTGCTGCATGTTGTGAGATTTTGGTCTACGATTACCTCCAGGGGAGCTTGATTCCAACAAATTCCGGTTGGGTTGCCTTCCAGGTTTGCTTGGATCAGATGGTGGAGTGGGCGGACGAGATCGTCTGTCCAACTCAAGCATTTTTCGCTGCAGTCGTGGGCTCCTGGATCCTCCTGAACTCTTTATTGAAGTTGTTGTGCTTCCTTTTGGAGGTTTTCTTGAAGGTTGTATGGATCCGTCATTCCTACTACTAGCTCTCTTATCAGTAGAGCTGACAGACGAAGTGCTTTGACTGCTTTGGGCAGTATGATCTCTAGTTGATCGACTACTTATCGGACCTTGCCTATTATCTACAGATGCCCCACTCAGAAGCTTGGGGAGACTGGAAATGTCATCTATGGGAATTACAGTTGAAGCATGCATACCACCTTTATCAATAAGTTTCGCAGGTTTCATGACCACAATAGGAGATTCATATGTTCTCGTAGAATCTGAACCTCTAGTTGTGGAAGTGTTGATGCGAGTATTCTGCAGGTTTCGCTGACCTCTCAGATTCTGACCAGGGCTTGTGCATTTTGGTTCAGAGTTTCTTTGAGACAACAAGTTTGCAGTTTGTTCTTCTTTCCCGGTCTCGAGGAGGCCCTTCACTTGCATTGCTTCAAGTATCTGTTTAAGAGCTCTAAGATCCTTTCCAGAGTGTTTAAACTCTAGATCTTTCAATCTTTTCTCGATCTCACTATAAACCGATGGGGAAGAATTTGGAGTCTTGGGCGGAACTTTTACAAGCTTAAGATGTTTCTGAGAACCTCGAATTCCATCCGCGTGTCTCCATGGTGCTGGCTCAATAGGGAACCTTGAACTGGAAACAGGCTTCATGATCTTGTTGGGATTTTTCCACTGTGGTGAAGTTGAATCTTTTAAAGAGCTTCTTGTGCTGTTAGAAGTGCGTGTTGGCCTGTTTGGATCGTTTGATCTAAGAGGCTGCGAGAAAGGATTGTTACCCTCGACACTGCAGGTTTTCACCACAACTAACTGCTCATCACCAGTCGAGGAAGAATCTGGCAGTGGACCCAAGCCCATCAGCTTTGCTACGATATTGGAAGGGCTGGTGCGGGATTGCGGTGAATTAGTAACTCTGCCATTCAAGTCGTCAATATTATGGAAACCTTTAGCAAGGTACTTTGAACCCTTCATTGACCTTTCTCTACCATCCAAAGAAAGTCTTGGTTGCTCTTTAAGTTTTGGTGTAGATTTGAAGGTGTCCCTTGATTCAAAAGAGAAACGATTAGTCTCCCTTCCATCGTAAGAAAATCGAGGAGTGTCCCTTGACATTGAATTCCACGAGCCGTTTGCTTCACTTGATGATCTTTCAACTTGTCTAACTTCATTGTTGTAATACCAAGGTGCTTCCTGAAGTTTTGCAAGACCTCTAACAGACTCCTCCAGATCAGCAGACACGTTTTGCTTTCCGTTGACCCCAACACCATAAGACCTGTCCATCGAATTTGGAATCGAAAATGGCCTTGGGGAATCTCTATGCTTCACAGCACTGCCCAATACTTCCTCCCTGCTCATTGCTTTAACTGATAGTCCTCTACCTTCTCGATACATTGAGCCCTTGACCACATCTCGAAGGTCAACAACACCTTGTGACCCTAAATGAGTAGTAGTAGTTGGTTTGTTCATCATGGTCTCCCTAGACAGAGTTTCGGGAAAATGGATTGTATCAAAGGAAGAGGCCTCTTGCTGAGGTGTCTTGTTACTATCAAGGGATGACATGGAAGACGAACATGACGAAGAGAAGGAGGCTCTCGAAGACTCCGTGGAGATTCTTTGTTTCTCAAACAGGGTTCTGTCCATATTCGTTTCCTGGAAATCAAATGAGTGTTGGACAACAACTAAGAAATGAAGCACAAAACACACAGAAAATTGCTGGGAACAAACAATTGAGGTGTGGCTTTGGTATACATTATTGGGACCACCTTCTAGGACTCCATTGTTAAACAGGGAATTCCCTGTAAAACGATCAGATAGTTCAGATAGTCTACATCTACACATAACTCGAGTTTCAGACAAGAACATAATTTTCAACAGTTGAAATTGAATTCCACCTACATTCATCAATATACAGACAGATAGCAGTTGAAATGAATAGCATCTGTTGGAAAATCGGCCCCTCCATGCGTAAATATACATGGTCTAATTCATTTAAACCAGAGAGCCTAACATTAAATTCAGAGATAAAACACCCTACCTGCAGCTGCTAGTTTCCGATGGCTCAGACGCTTGGCGGTAATCATATGATGCGGATCGAAGACGTGGAAAATCGCGGTCATGCATCCGATTTGCTTCTGCAATTCCGGGTTTTCATCCGCCAATGAATGTAGCAGCTTCGCAGCCATCTTCCAGCTCCGCTTGGAAACTCCTAGTCACTACTCTCCTAACACTTGAATTGAAATCATCATTTCATCTTCAAAACCAAATTAAATTTGATCCCTTTAAGCCTCTTTGAACCTATACACATTATAACTGATACTGCTTTGAACCTATACAGCTCAAAACCAAAAGCTTTTGGCTTCCCTCAATATCAAAATTTGTCTTTTTGCCATGAAAATCTTCAAACTTTATTTTCTGAGCAACCAAACAAAAGTGCAAGAAAGGAAGGGACCCAAATACCCCATTTCACTAAACGCACATAATGTAAGAGCAAGTGTAAAAAGGAATATGCTCAGATCCAATAAGGATTTGAAAAGAAAAGAAAATGGTGTCCCTGAGACACCCCCAGAAATGATAGGAAGGTTTGTTGTTATGCCACCATGTCAAACACCGATTCTGGTCAATCATACCCAATTAAAATATGCTTGTCATTTGTATGTGAGGGAGGTCAGAGGAGAGGAAGTGGACATTGGAACATTACATGCCATCATAATACTATAATCAAAATTAATCCAAATACGATGTAGGTTTAAATTTTGAGAATGCAGTCGTATTGAAGATTATAAGTGTTTTATCTGATACATAATTCATAAAATATTTGAAGGATATAAAACAAATCAACCAGAGCTTAATCGGTGTAAACGTAGGGTCGTATCCATGTGGGTGGGTCTGCCTTGCCATGTGATTCTGTCAGTATCTACCCATTCCGCTGCTTTTGCTTTTTCTCCATCTTAATTGCTTTAATATATAAATTACTCCTTGAATTTATCAAATTGGCCTATAATTTTTTTATTTTTTAATTAATAAAAACAATTAGTATGCTTAGTTTAATACATTTTATTTTACCAAAAAACTCTCTTTTTTTCTTATTATTTTTAAGTTATAGAATAACATGGCCTTTGGACATTCTTGCTTTGTCTTTGCATCTTTGCCAACTCAAAATAATTAAAAATTAAATAATAATGTAAGCCTCTAAAATCGCCATACATGGAGACCATGAAGCCCTACATGTTGTTTTGTTTTATTTTATTTCTCCTTTTCAAATTAATTAGATTTTTTTATTTAATTAATTAAAAAAAAATCCAGTTAAACTTAGTTTTTTTAATTAATCATTGGTATCCGATCTATTAACCGATTAATCTAGATTAGGTACTACAGAGATGAGAACGACATTCCTAACCCAATTTACTCCATTCGAAAACACTAAGACTTTAAGCTAGCTTGATCAGTTTTTAATAGGACAAGAGTGGATTGGGCTGATTTTTTGTTAAAATTTTTGGATTGAATTAAGACCATGTTTAGATGAAATTCATCCAACCCCATGTAATTATTAAAATATTATTAATTGTATTTTATATGATATATTTGATGTTTTTATTTAAAAAATAATCCAAATAAAATAGGATCGAATTACATTTTTATCATTTAAACAACCACAAAAATTAATAATGACTAACAATAATCCAAATAATATATTTTTCTGTTGGAAATTATTTATTCAACTCTCCAACTACATTTTAGTGGAATTTGACTTCATAATGAACATAAATAAATATTGTAACATTATTTACTATTTTTTTGTTCAATGAGAAAATAACATAATGTATCAATAACGAGTAAAATAAGACTTTATTTTCATATCCGTCCACCCCTCTTAATGGATATGTGATTTTTCAAAAGCATGAGATTCGTGTTAGTCTTATTATCGTCAAACTAAAATTATATTAGGGTCAGATAATTTGTCTATATCAATCTTATGTTATTAATTTAAAGTTAAAATTAAGTATAAAATCGAATCGGATTAAATTCATTAAACATTGTTTTTCTTATAAGTGAGATTCGGATTAGAAAACTTTAACTATACACATAAAATAAAGTGAAAAATAGAAGAGAATAATTAGGGTATAGTACAAAGATTAAGTGGACAAGAAAGAAAGATGTATCATGTATTAGGAAAAGAATTATTAAAATATTTTATCAAACAATTTGAATTCTTTTATAATCAAGATACTCGAACTTGACTTGATAACAATGGAATTAGGAATATCACCTTAAAACCAAGCCTTTCCATAATATAATTTACTATTATTGAATTCTAGACCCACTTGTGATGTCCAAGGCTGGGCCTAGCTTCATTTCGGCCCAATATTAGTAAATTATATTATCAAAAGTTGTAATTGGGGCAAGACTTGTGATGGCCCGTAAAAACAAATTATTATTTGATTAATCTAAATGTAAATACAAGGTAGTATCTGTTCAAAAACAATTATTTACTATTTGATATTAAACCTCACAACTCTAGACATTCACGGTGCTCGAATCCGGGACCTCAAGTTCATTTACCACTAAGATCGTGCAAAAAATATATATATCGATTGAGTATTAAATAATTTATTTCATAATAGATTTTATATATTTTCATAATTTAAATGAAAATCACTAATATGGCCATAGCCCATAGGATCAGTCACGAGTAGGGGACGGGGTGTGCGCATCAGTTGAGTTTTTACTCCCCGACTCAAATTTTATAATGGTAATATTTTTTCTCTTATACTATCAGTAAGTTCAATCATTTGAAACGGATAAACAAATAAATGAAACATTTAATCTCCAATTTGAATTTTAAAACATTAATTTAACCTTAAAAAATAATAACGAGTAAAAGAAAAGGGAAGGTTAAAATGTTGGTAGTAATTAAGACAAGTTGTAACTCCACAAATTTCTCTTAATTATTTCCCTTGATCACTCCAATGTGATCTCCCTTTTCATTCAGTGGCGGTAACTCTCTCTCTCGTTACTTCCATGCATTCTCTCTCTTAATTTTCAAATTCAAATCCCCCATTCGCTTCTACCAATCAAATTATTGCAGTGAGAAAACATCAAATAAGAAAAATGTATACTCCATCACTATTTACAAGGTTTGTTAGATGGAGAGTAAAAGACTTTGCTTCATGTTTCTTGGCTTGCAGCTTCCCTGCAGGTAAATACAGTCCATACTACGATGTCTCGGGTCGCTATTTCCATTCGTTTTTGTTTCTGATTGTCATCTTAATTGATTGAGATGACATCTTTACTGATATATTCGTAATTGATTGTGACAACATATTTTGTGTGTGTTGAATTATAACGTTGATCATTGTTGTGATCTTGCTGGTTACTTAATATGATGTTTCGGGTCGGGACCTTAATTGATCGCCAAAGCATATCCGATGTGTTTTTCATGTAGAAGAAGAACCAGCCGAGACTAATCCACCTTCGTCATCGAAACATCCGAAGGGAAACATTGTTTCCGAAAGGAATGTTGACTCCGGAGGTAAGGAGATTAACGAAAGACGGAATGAATGCGACAACGGAAGACGAAGGCGAACCCTGAGTTCGAAAAACAGAGTTTCAATGGACGATGGAAGCGAAAACTCAAGCAGGCCATGCTTTTCTGATGAAGAATACATAGTCTTCTGTTTTAAAGAAGATGGAGCGTTTCTAGTTATGGAAGATGGCAACAAATCAGAAGAATCCAATACAAGTTCATGGGCAGTAAATCGAAAGGTTAAGTACAATGTTAGTTGGACTCTTCATTTAGCTGATTTATATGATCCATAACTAAATTAACCTACTTCCTAAACTGGTTTGGATGGGAACAGCTTGATTTTGCTGAAACAGATAAGCACACAAGTGACCAAGGAAGATCAAATGAAGCAGAGATCAATGCTGCTAAAGATCAGGTCAGCCCTATGCTTTTCTTTTCAATATTTGTTCACAATTTTTTTCAACTTCAAATTATCAAGCTTTAATTTAGCTTAGCTTATTTTAGTCCTCAATCATTAGTAGGATTGTAAACGGGTCACTAAAATTTTAAAAAAGTTATAAATATATCACTCAATTAGTCGGTTGTTACACCTCCGTTGTAAATAGAATGGATGTTAACTTTTTTTTAGTTACAATCAAGTCACTTAGTATATCTATTACAACAATATAATCACTTTAATTTATCGATTATCCGGGTAATATTTTGATAATACGTATAGGGTGAAGGAGAAAGGAGTAGCAATTGGTGGGAAGAAGAGGAGACACCAAACCACCGTGGGACCGTTTCAGTTGAATCAAGTGGATCCAATCAATCTGATGGCAGCACTGGATCCTTTGCCTTTCCCGTGTAAGTGCAAGGGAACTCTATTTCTATGCTGCTCGGATATTCTCGAGTGAGTGTCGGATATTCGTGTCCTACACATATATGATCAAAACTCTCTTTTTTATAGTATATAGTTGAAGAATAATATTTGAATATAAATATCAAATACGAGTACTTAAACGAACGAAAAATCGTAACTTTGGTGAAAGCTGTTGCAGATTAGGATGGGAGTGGATGGGAAGTCCAGTGCAAATGCCAAAATCACAAGGCATTATTAACACAAGGAAGAACAAGGCCCCTTCTCTTCATTTTCATTGTTTTAGATTCTGATCCTCCACTTCTTTCTTTTCCCACAACATTTCTTTTTTAAATTATGTTTCTTCTTTTATTAAACTAATATATGTTAAATGAATTCCAATGAATATCAAATATAAATGTGTCAAATACGGTTAAACATAAGTTATATATATATATATATATTGGCATAATTATATTCGTATACTCCATCTGAATATGTCTAATTTTTGTTGTTAAAAAAAATATCAAACCCTTGGATGTTTAATCGGTTAATTCAATTGATGGCTGAAATGAATTCGCCAAGATCAGATTAATAAATTTTTTAATTGTTAACAAAATAATTTTTTTTTTGAAAATTTATTAAACAAAATGAACAGAATTCGAGTAATTTGTTCAATTTTCAAATTAACCAAAATTCGTAATAAAAATTTTTAGTTAGATTAATTTTGAATTTGATATATGTATTAATTTTCATTTGGGTTAAAATTTGATAGTCTTCAAAGTTTAATAGGTCTAATGTAATTAAAACAGTTGGATCTTGATTCTTAATGGATTGATGCTAAATATATATATATATATGTAAAGTATATAATATTTAATATTTTCGGTTACTTCGATTAATTAACCGATTTTGAACCGAATTAATCGATAATTAAACTTTGAATTTTTTTAACCGTTAACCAATCTAACATCTAATTACAACTGATCAACCGAACTAAATTTCGATTCAATTGATTAATTAGTTCAAACCGAACAATGAACACCCCATCCAAACCCCGGTTGCTCGGAAGAGAATTTATTTGTACATGTAAAAAAATGCATGCATTTAGTAGACAATTACGAACAGAAAATGCCATACATAACATAAAATAATGCCATACAAAAGTAAACTAATGCTGCAGCACGAACATGATATCCCAATGCATAGGAGTTCGTGTGAACCTACTTTGACATTAAAAAAATCCTTACATTGCTTTTCTTATGCAACTTCCAATTTGAAAAGAACGGATTGGAGATACAACCTTGCACTGGCTGCAGCCGCTAGCGATTCTTCATCTTGCTTCTCTTTGGCAGCATCGACAGCAACGATGTACGCCCGCCTCGCTTCTTCCACTTTTGGCATCTCCTTGTCATCTACATCATCCTGTTTATCCCAAAACCATATGATTATTGACTACGACATGGTAAAATTCAAATCTACACTTAATGGAATTTAAGGTAATGATTTTGAAATAACAAAGAAACTAGTAGCACTTAAGAAAACATATTCTTTCTAGCAATTTCCTCCATATGCTATTACCGAGTATGCACAACCACCATTTGATTTTTCCAAATGGTGCAAATTTACAAATCAACTATGGTACTCGGACTTTGAGTGAGTGTCAGATACAAGCATGTGCTTGAAATGGATATGTTTTTTTTCCATGTTTTGGATGATTCTTGCACCCATGTCTGGATTTCATTCAATACAAATAAGTGGGAGCAACATAGTGAACAAAAGCCAGGAAAACTCAAATTTAAATAAGATGATTAGGAAAAGGATGGTGAGCTTACTATACATGGGAGATGCTCAAAATGATATGGTGCTACATCGTAATCTTCAGCAAATGCGGTGCGATTATTCTTTGTCAAACCATTTAATAGCTGCATAAAAGATGAAAATTCTCCTTGCATGGAGTCTATATCATTTTGCAGCTTCTCCGACTTTTGCCTAGATGTCATTGCTTTCCATTGTGTCTTTTCCAAGGCAGCCTGCTTGTCCGCTAGCTTAATCTAAAGAGAGCAGCACTTATACCAATAAGGAAACAAAAAGGAAGAGCTCCGGCTTCATCTCAGCAGGTTCATGCAACTATATTATGAGGCGGTATTAATTAAATCTGGGATTTGAATCCCAACCTCTTCTTACTACCTCCAAATTATGGGAATAAGAAAATGAAGTTTAACTCATCGGTTCATACAACCATCTTATGAGGTGATATTGAGCAAATCTCGGATTTAAATCCCAGAAACTATAATCTCTCCTCCTATCTCTATGCCAAGGCCCCCTCTTTATATCAATTAAACAAATAATACTTATAAAATCAATCTTAACTTCCAGAAATACAGTTACTTATTGCAATTGTAACTGCTTTTTCTTTATCAATTCCTGAATAATTTCACATCCAAAATTTATCTACAAATAATATAAATCTTAATATTAATCGATATAGACTCCATATTTATATTCATCTGCTGCCTCCTACAAAATTTCAAAAGATTAGTTTTCAGAACGCAATTACAATGCACTACAAATTATACAAAATCTATGTTAATTGGACTTGGGTGCCGGTGATGGATAGAGGTATGTCTCTGACACAGGTAATGATAGATTTTTCTAAATTTTTACACGCATTTGAGGGGGTCCTTAGAGGGTCATAACCCCATTTCCATGTACGGAAATGTATTGTACATAAGTTTCAGACAAGGATACTTCAAGAAAAGCAAAAAAAATAGGAGCGACATAAGAGAGAGATATACATCAAACGTGTATACCTTGGCATCAGAGAGTTGCAGCTGAATAGACTTGATTAGAGAGTCCTTTTCTGCAGCATGTTGATTCAGTTGATCAAATTCTGTTTGAACAGCATTAATCTGGTTCTTTAAAATCTCTGCTGATTTCAGAAGCTCCTCCTTCTCCAGTAACCTTTTTTACAGATCCTCCACTTGTTCTCTCAGTACAATTAACTCCTCGTTTTCTTTTCCTGCTATCAAATCCCTCGAGGAAAAGATTGATAAACTATCACCATTTTGGTCATTACTACCATTCTTGTCTACTCGATCCTTTTCTTTTTCACTGGAATATACAGAGCTGCATTCCTTCCTTTTACATCGCTAACCTTTATGAACAAAAAGAACAACATGATACATTTATATAAAGAAATTATATATATATATATCTAACAGAAGAAAAGCTATTAGATTAAATCCAGGAATATGAGGAAAAATGATAGGGAAAAGAGTAGTATATTGTAATTCATGGAAAATTGTAATTGAAACCCATTAAACACTAGATGTTTTATATTTTATATCTTTGCTCTCCAAACAAATACCTAATAAAGAATCAATTATGCATACTATAATAAGACTACCACTTCAGTTAAACAAATACCTAATAAAGAATCAATTATGCATACTATAATAAGGCAGCCACTTCAGTTAAACAAATACCAACAATTGATACCCAAAAAGAAAAACAGTTGAATTTAAAACCTTCATAATAAAGAACCACTGCCAGTAAAAAATATGTCAACGCCTTCTGAAGATTCCTGCCTCCCAAAAAAGCAGCGCCGCCGCGATGAGAATCCACCAGACGATCCAAACCACCAGCCTGGCCCCCCGATCACCTCTATGGACTGCGATAACTCTTCTGCCCCTGACTCTAGTGATAATCCCACAAAGCCAATCATCTCTTATAAAGATATGGTAATTGGAAAATCTGAAAACTCCCCCTCAAAGATCTTCTTCCCCTTGATGATGATGATGGTATCGATTTCTAGAGGAAGATATTCGGTAGGAGAATCTGACGGAATGCCCTTCATCGATTTTTCAGATCGTGTTCAATACCTTGCCCTAAAATGCATGGAGTTTACCCTTCTTGTCAAAGTCCTTGGCAGACGAGTCGGTTACAACGTTCTTCAAAACCGTATATTGTCCATATGGAAGCCTTCACACCCTTTGAAATTGATTGATATTGAACATGACTACTTTCTCGACAAATTTTCTTCGAGAAACGATTATATTCACGTGCTTTCAGATGGTCCGTGGACAATTTTTGGGCACTACCTCACTGTCGAACCATGGTTGACTAACTTCAATCCTTCGCAAGCACATCCGAGTAGAATCATGGTTTGGATCCGTCTCCCGGGGCTTTCTAATACTTGGTACAAACGAAGTCTGATTGAAGCAATTGGAAACCTCATTGGTTCGGTTGTTAAAATTGATTATCAGACCGATAATAGACATCGGTGCAGATTTGCTAGGATGGCAATAAACATCAATCTGCGTAAGCCTTTGGTTTCAAAAGTCTTAATTAATGGTCAGATCCAATTTGTGGAATACGAGTCCCTTCCAATTGTTTGCTTCAATGGCGGCATATATGGTCATTCGAAGGACTGTTGTCCTCAAAAGTTAATCAAAGTAGTGATAATCCCGCTGACACTGCTGCTGCTCAAACTGTTGTGCAACCCCCGATACAGCGAGACCCATATGACCCCTGGATGCTTGTTGAAAAACAACAGAGGCGCCAGACCAAACAACAAATCAATCCAGAACCTAAAGGTACGCCCATTCCCATTGAAAACTCCAGGTTTAATCCTATTTATGATGAAAAAATGGATGTGAATGATTTAGCCAATATGACAAAAAATGATGTGGATGCAATTCCTGTTGAGTCACCCAGGATATCCCCCACAGTTCCTTCTTTAGATCATGCCCCAAAAGGAGCTCAAGGAAAAGAAAATTCCCCCCGACCATCTGATTCAGAAAAGAACAAAGGGAAGGTTGTTCTTTTTCCCCGAAAACAATAGGCTACTCCTCTTGGTCCAAAGAATCTGAATTTATCTATCTCTCGCAAATCAAACACGGGTTCTACAAGTACTTCTCGTGCCACAAAGGGTCGTCCTTCTCTCCTCAATCCCTCAAAGCACTTTGCTATAGAACTCCAAACAAATGCAGCACCTACTATGGTAAAGTCTCAAATTTGTGCATTCCTCAAGCCAAAGACCCTACAGCTTTGGTTAATCAAGAAATGCATAACCAATCGAGTGATGGGTGTGATAGTATTTTGCCACCCTCTGTTCAGAATGATCTAAACCGGACATCAAACTTATCCAGTGCTACTCCCTCCTCAGATATTCAAGAGATTCCCGTGCATGGTCCCACGGACATGATTGAATAACATTGATTTCTCTTGACTGCTTTTTTTCTTCCATCATTTTATGGATTTGAAGACCTTTGTATGGAATGCCCAAGGTTGAGGGCATAAAAATTTTGTTCGACTAACAAAGCAGTAAATTCGTGATCACCACCATGATATTTGTGTTTTTCTTGAACCTCGGATTAGTGGTAGCCATGCTGAAAAGGTTATCGCTGCCCTTGGAATTCCTAATTCCCACAGAGTTGAAGCTATCGGATTCTCCGGAGGTATTTGGCTTTGTTGGTTTGATCATGTACATATTGATATTCTTTCATGCCATTTTTCAATTAATCCATTGCAGGATTTCTAGCTCTCATTGTCATGATGCTTTTTTAGCCACTTTTATCTATGCAAGTCCGAATTGCAGGTTGCGTACTTTATTATGGTCTCATTTGAAAGATATTGCTATGTCCATTTCCGAGCCTTGGATAGTTCTGGGGGATTTTAATGCTACTCTAACTTCTGATGAGCGCAAAGGTTTTTCCAAGATTTCGCCAGAAATTGATTTTCAGAACGTGGCTTTTGATTGTGGTCTTCTTGATCTCGGCTACCAAGGTTCTACCAAGGTTCTAGTTTTACTTGGTACCGTGGGTTTTGTTCAGTTTCTTGTCAGGTGTTTCGGGAATGATCTCTGGTTACAATGCTTTCCTGAATTTGTTTTGCATCATCTCCTTCGTATGAAATCTGACCATAGGCCTATTCTGCTCTCAACTTCTGGTTTGTCTCGTCTTCCCAAGAATAGACCCTTTCGCTATCTCTCGGCTTGGAATCTTCATAAAGATTTTGATCGTATGGTTCGAGACAACTGAACTCTAATCTTTCCTTTCCGGAATCTTTAACCAACTTCACCGTAGCTGCGACATCTTGGAATAGATATGCTTTTGGCGTAATTGGTACAAACAAGAGGCTCTTAATGGCTCGCCTCCGTGGGGTCCGACGATGCTTGGATCAACAGTGAACACAAAGCATGGTTAAATTAGAATACAAATTGCTGCAAGACATTGAAACCATTCTTGACCAGGAGGAGCAGATTTGGAAGCAAAAATCACGTATAGACTGGATAAATTTCGGTGATAAAAACACGAAACTTTTTCACTCGAAGGCTGTGTGTAAACGAAGAAGAAACACCATTCACATGCTTAAGATGAATGGCGAGGAATGGCGGGATGACACTGTTGCACTTAGGGATGCTGGCTCGGTTTACTTTGAAAGACTCTTTGCTGATGATTCGGCTCCTCATGGCAATTATCCCATATCTGGGTTGTTCCCTACCTTATCGGATTTTGATCTTAACTTCTTAAATTCCTGTGTTTTGGATGATGAGATACGAGACGCTCTTTATTCCATGGCTCCTCTCAAAGCCCCACGAGTTGATGGTATTCACGCTCATTTCTATCAGAAGAGTTGGAGTATTGTTGGGCCGTCGGTTTGCTCCATGATTCGTTCAGTCTTTAATGGAGCAGTTTTGGATCCCATGTTCAATCAAACGTCCATTGCTTTAATTCCTAAGACCAATAACCCGGAAACTTTTGCAAACTTTCGTCCGATTAGCTTATGTTTTGTCCTATACAAGCTAATCACAAAGGTTGTTGTTCGTCGGTTACAACATGTTCTTCTGAAACTCATAGGACCTCATCAAACCAGTTTCTTGAAGGGACGAAGTATCTCAGAGAATACGATTATTAATCAAGAAATTGTTCACTCCATGCATGCAAAAAAAGGGGCTGCAGGTTGGATGGCAATTAAGATCGACCTCCAAAAAGCTTTTGATCACTTGAGGTGGAAGTTTATTGAAGATACTTTGGTAGATGCTGGACTGCCAGGTGATCTTATTTGATTAATCTCTCACTGTATCTCCACTACTTCCATGCAAGTCCAATGGAATGGCGAGCTAAGTAGAGAATTTAAATCTCGTAGAGGTATCCGCCAAGGTGATCCCTTATCGCCTTACCTTTTCAATTGAGCCATTATATTTCGCTTTCTGTTTCTTCTGGACAATGGACAGCTTTCAAGCTTGCTAGACATGGCCTCCCTATCTTGCATTTATTTTTTGCTGATGACATGATGCTTTGCGCTAAGGCTGACATGGTTAATGTTGTGAATATTGATTCTATTCTTTCAACCTTTGGCCATTATTCGGGTCATACTGTGAACAAGCACAAAACAAATATTTTTTCTCTCCTAATACTTGTCATGATGTGCGCTCTGAAATTTGCAATCATCTTGGATTCCAAGAAATCACAGATATGGGAATGTATCTTGGGGTCCCAACTAGTCACATTGGTTCTCCAAAGATTCTTTATAATTCTTTGATTGATAAGATCCAGAGGAAACTTGATGGGTGGTCGGCTAGGACCTTGTCTTTCACTGGTCGGATCACTTTAGCCAAATCTGTTCTTCTGAGTATCCCATCATATATTATGCAATCATGTAAATTACCTCTCAGTATTTGTGACAGAATTGAGAAACTAGTTCGTCGTTTTATTTGGTGAGGAAGCTCGGATGCAAATCGTATCGCCTTGGTCAAACGGTCTTCTCTCTGCCAACCTCTTCAGAATGGTGGTCTGGGTATTCGTAATATAAGAGGTACTAATACTGCTTTTCTTATGAAATTATGTAATGCTCTTGTTCAATCTCCAGATGCACTTTGGGTTCGGCTACTCCACGAGAAGTATAAGAATGCAGTCTCATTGTCCGTCTTCTATTGATCATGCCAATAACTCTTCCTTTTGGCGTACCCTTATTGGAATCTGGCCTACTTTTCATGCCAACTTAGCTTGGTCTGTAGGGAACGGCGAGTCTATTAATTTTTGGCAGCACAATTGGATTCCTGAAATTGGCCCTCTCAACGGTTATGCTAATTCTCGAATCAACACTGATGAAGATCTTCTGGTATGCAATTTTGTTTCTAGTAATGGTTCATAGAATTGGTCGGCTCTACACCATGCTCTCTCTCTGATTGTTCTCCCTTATTTTTGCAATAATCAGCCCTCCAATCACTCTCTCGGGCCAGACTACTGTTATTGGAAGGATGGCTCAAAGCGAAAATTCTCCACAAAAAGTGCTTATAATCTCCTTTGCTCCCCCCCTTTGGAATGAAAACGACCATAGCTGGAAGCTCATCTGAAAACTTTCGGTGCCTGAAAGAGTCCGAGGCAAATTTTATATATAGTACACGATTATATAGTTACAAATCTGACTAGCAAATTACAACAACGCACCACATCAATATTTTTCTAATCTTACTAGTAAATGTTACTTAAGATGAAACGGCAAGCTCTAATTCACTATCAGTATGAATTCCACAAATTTTGAATCAACGTTTTTGGAAACTTAGATCATACATTGTCATTGAAGAAAATACATATCATTTTTCAAATTCTTGAATTTTTTAGATGCTAATTTATGATGAACTTGAAATGATGAATTTAATACCTTCCATATATATGATAATACTGAATCTTATCCAATTTATGCATAATATAAGCATTCCATTCTCAAAATTAATACGTAATATCAAACTCAATCCGAAATTTTCAAGTCATTTTTCCAAACAAGCCACAAGTAAATTCAACAAATTAAATTTAAAACGAAGGATCTAAGAACTTACTTTACGGGATAATGATTCCCTTGAAGGTGTCTTGGTATACACAATCGATCCACGCCTTGTAAATGAACTGTTTGGTTTACGCTCCTAATCAAATCAAAGTTTACAAAATAATACTAAATCAAAACTTAAATACACACTTCTCTTTGCACTTTCCAGATAGTGAAAGGCAAAATAAACTAATATTCTTTATTTCCTTCCATTTTTCTTTAATTTCAAACAGAAACTGAAAAAACAAAAAACAAAAAAAATAAAAATAAAAGGAGGAGCGGAGATTACGATGAGGGACTGAAATAGAGAAATCATCTCTACTACGAGATCCTTGTAGAGTTCACTATCCACATTTCCGGGGACAGAGCGGGCGAGTAAGGACTCAGCTCGATGGTGAGTCGGGGACGAGTTGCTGTTATCCCCCGACAGCCAGGATCCAAAACCTGAATTTTCTTGTAAATCTACTAAATGTTGCGGCTCAAACATTTTTTTTCTTCTAAAAATTCAAAGAATAGAGAAACATTTGTTCGTAGGGAATTGAAATATGTGAAGTAATTGTAATATGTAAGAATTATAATCTAAATTTGAAACTTTATTTAGTTGGCAGTAAATTGAATTAGAATTTAATTTTATGTTTTGTTTGGTTCGCAGATATGTCAGATGAATTTGATTTTAGTAATGTAAAATGATATAATTGTCTTTCTTATTTTTTTTTTTGCTTAATTTTAGTTTGTTTTATAACTTACATGTAACAATATATTATAAAAATTTTAAAAAATATTAAATTTTCATTTTATTGATTGATTATTCATTTCAATAAATTATAAAAAACATACTAATAAATATTATAAGTTAAACTCATCCCAATTAGGGATGGCCATGTGTTGGGTTGGGTCGGGTTTTTGATCTACCCGACTCGACCCGAGAACAAGGGAACCTCCACCTGAGACCCGACCCAACCCAATCTAACCCGACTAAAATAAAATTTCACCCGACACAACCCAACCCGACCTAAATATATAAATTAGAAACCCGACCTGACCCGACTCGAAATAATAAAAAATTTGTTTTTATTCAATAAAAACAGTGACTTAATTAAAATATATATATATATAGTGGTATTATTGTAATTATTCCTAAATATATAAGGTAAAATTATATATATTTTTCGGGTCGGGTCGGGTATTTTTCATCCTAAACCCGAACTCGACCTGAACTAGGGATGGCAATGGGTCGGGTCGGGTCGGGTTTTTGGGCCACCCGACCCGAGAAGAAAGGGGTTTTCACCCGTGACCCGACCCGACCCGAAATAATAATAAAAAAAATTTATTCAATGAAAACAATGACTTAATTGAAAAAAATTATATATGGAGGGATATTATTGTAATTATCCCTAAATATATAGGATAAAATTATATATAATTTTTCGGGTCGGGTCGGGTTGGATTTTTTTCACCCTAAACCCGACCCGACCCGAGCAGTACATTAAAAAAAACCCGACCCGACCAGACCCGAACCCGAATTTTTTTTAAAAAAATCCGACCTGATCGAGTCGGGTCGGGTCGGGTCGGAACCCGTCGGATTCGGGTTGAGTTGCCATCCCTAACCTGAACCCGGTTTTTTAAAAAACAAATCTGACTCGAATACCAAAATATTAATGAGGGTAGTATGGTCAAATTTCACATTCTCTCCTCTAAAGGATTTCAATTCTATCATGTTATGGATGAAATTTACTTTCCCTCCCTTGATGAAATTAGATTCCAATTTTCTCTTTGAAAATTTGAACTAAACATAAAAAAATGATCGAATTATATTTCAATTCCCCATAATTCTAAAGGATTCCAATAAACCAAACATCACATAAGAACCTGAAAGAGTTTGAAAGCGTAAGCGAAGCTATGAAAACTCTCGGTAGTTATAAATGGCTTTTTTTCTTTTCGTATTTTCTTTAAATCCCAAACTTATGATGAAGGTAATTTATGGTATTACTAAAGCACCCCTGAACTACCTTTAGAATACGATGAATACAAATGCCCAGGACAAAAAGGAAAAACAAATTGATTTCATTTTTTGTGATTTATTTGAATTTTTACAATTTCTCAAGTAATTAATCTTTATTTTTTTTTTCGTGCAGAAACTATGAATTTGAAAATGGGTAAATTATATTATTAGTCATTAAACTTTAGTTGTATAGCGAATTTAACATTGAACTTTGAAATATTTCAAATTTATCCCCGAATTTTAGTTTAGGTTTTTAATCAAGATATTAGGTTCTTTGGTCGATTTTAGCTAGTTTACATTTTTAATTAGGATAGTATCAACTTCTCCAGTCGTCCATCTTTGATAGCCATTCGCAATAAGATTAATACAAAATGTTCATATTTCACTCGTAACTTTTAATTTTTGATTGATTTTCTACACAATTCACTCAAAATCGATGAAAATTCATACATAACTTTAATATTCTAATGCATCAATATCCTCTTATAGCCATATGATGACGTTAGTTTCTAGTTATATTTTTTTGTATTATGAGAAGAATTTTTTCACTATTTAAATCCGAGAAAGCCTTTAGACCTAAAAATGATATGTTTTATATTTGGTTTCATGAGTTTTTAAAAAGATTTTGAGTAGTTTAAACAATAAAATGATAAAGGACAATCAGACTTGTTTATATATGTATAAGGTGACTCTAAAAGATGTCATACAATAGTTGCCTCTAATGATGACGACTAAAATTATGTGAAAAATCTTAATTTTGATGAATGGTAAGATAAAGTAAAAATAAAAAATAATTTTTGAACTACAATGTCGGTATATGTCAACTTCCGTAACAATATTAAACTATTACTTCATCTGCTTTTAATTCCACTATTATTGCTCTTGTCCCCAAAATTCCTAATCCTTGTAATGTTAAAGACTTCAGGTCAATCTCCTGCTGTTCAGTCATCTACAATATTATTTCTAAAATCATTGTCACTAGATTGACTGAATTCCTGCCTGACATTATCTCTTTAAACCATACTGCTTTTATCCGAGGTCGTGATATCATCGATAATGCTCTCCTTGCTCAGGAGATGGTAAAAGGATATGGTAGGAAATCCATCTCTCCAAGATGCTCAATGAAGATTGATCTTCATAAAGCTTTCGACTCATTGCATTGGAATTTCTTATTAGCAATCCTAAAAGCCCTCCATCTTCCTCAAAAATTTATTGATTGGATTGAAATCTGTTTCTCTCAAGCTAGGTACTCTATTGCTTTTAATGGTACCTTAATAGGCTATTTCAAAGGGGCCAGAGGTTTAAGACAAGGGATCATCTTTCCCCTTATCTTTTCATTATAGCAATGAATGTCCTCTCTAAAATGCTTAATATAGCTGCATCCAAATGAGTCTTTGCTTTTCACCCAAAATGCAAGAAAATTGGGTTAACTCATCTCTCATTTGCAGATGGTTTACTGATTTTCTGCAAAGGAAACAAGGACTCAGTAGCTAGAGTCTTGAGCGTTCTCCACCAGTTTTATCAAGTTTCTGGACTTCACTTAAATCCCTCCAAATGTGAGATCTTCTCTGTGGGTATCTCTCCTAGGGAATTTGAGAACCTAAAAATTATCTCTGGTTTTAAAACAGGCTGCCTGCATGTGTGGTATCTTGGAATACCTCTTGTTACTCGAAAACTCTCTCTGAAGGACTGTGAACCACTCCTTGACAAAATTAGGCAAAGGCTACACCACTGGTCTACAAGAAATTTAAGCTATGCTGGCAGACTCGAGCTAATCAGATCGGTTCTTTTTAGTGTCAGTAATTTCTGGTGTAGACAATTAATTGTCCCAGCTACTGTTTTAAAATCAGTGGACCAATTATGCTCAAGGTTCTTTTGGAAATGAGCTGACAAATCGGCTGATGGAGCAAGAGTTAGTTGGGACCAAATATGTCTTCTAAAATCTGAAGGAGGCTTAGGATTGAAAAACATTACCACTTGGAACTAAGCTTGCATTATGACCATAACTTCTGGCAGTTTAAGATTGGGTCTAATATCAGCTGGAATATTAGAAGAATTCTCAAACTGAGAAATTCTGCATTTCCCCTTTATTCTTCTGGTATTCTGCAGGTGAAGGAAATATGGGGGAAATCCGAATGCAAGGTCAGAAAGTGCATTGGAACCGTCTAGCATGGTATCCTATGCACCTACCAAAGCATAGTTTGATTACTTGGATGGCCATCTTAAATAGGTTACCAACTTGTGATCGCTTACAATGCATGGGATTAGTCACTGCTGGACTGTGCGTTAACTGCAGGGCTGCTAACGAAAGTAGGGATCATTTGTTTTCTCAATGCCCCTTGGCTATAGACCTCTGGAAATCTGTGCTCCAATTGAATGGTATGAACTACACTGTAATGACTTGGGAAGAAATGGTCTATCGTGCAAGCTCTATGTGGAAAGGGAAGTCTCTAGTCACCACTATATTGAAAATTTCATGGAATGCTTATATCTACTTTTTGTGGCAAGAACGTAATCCCATACTATTTCAAGGAAGATCTCGAACTGTTGATAACTTGCTCAAGGAAATCATTGAAATAGTTAGTATAAGACTTAGAGGAAAAACTATAAACATGCTTAATTGCACTAACTTTCATCTTTGTAATGCTTGGAGTATAATCTAACCAATCTTTTGTTCTTTTGTATGTTTGTAATGTTCTTTTGTCTTGATTGGTGATTGATTGTAATTTATATTACTCTTGGATAATAAAATTCTGATTTATAAAAAAAAAGTGAAAATATATTAAAGTTGAATAGTAAGATTCCTAAAATTTAATTACATTAACCTTTGGAAAAAGTACACAACAGTTTCCAATAATATAGAAAACCAAAGTGAGCGGTAAAAGAAGATAGTTAGTGGACATCAACTATTTGTTTAAAAAAAAAATAAGCTATTAGTGGAATTGGGTATCCACTATGTCAGAGCCATCATATCCTATTAGATCTAGTAGTATTTATTTTCTTTAATTTTTATATTTTGGAAGTTAGTCATCCCTCAGGTCCAATTCATCTGCTAGCAGATGAAGTTCATAACATATATAAACTAAAAAATTTATCACATTCTTTATATATTAGTTAATAAATAATTTCAAAGGGAGATAAAAGGTAAAGATATAATTTACGGCAGATATAATGTTGGCTGACTTTGATTCCGCTACGTCCAATCAACTGCTCCGTTACAAAGATCAACCAACTCCGTCCGTTGTTCTCCACTCCCTTCCCAATCTCCTCCACCCTCCGATCTCTTATGCAATTTTGAAAACTCAATCAGCACCGTCTCATCAAACATATTTAGCTGCCACCGTGCTTGATCAGTTAACAGAGAACCGAAACCAAACGGCACCGTTTCATCCTTCCACGATGTGTTCAAGCTGGAAAAGCTCCACATCTCCGTCTAGCCTAAATTATTTGGACTCCCGTAAAACTTCGAATCGCTGACGTTTAACAAGCTAGATTGAGATGTTACTGCCGACGACGCTTCGGTGGAGATATTTTTGTTCTCTTTATTCGTCGCCGTTACGTTAGAATTGGCTGCAGTAAGACTCGAACTCTCGCTGCTAGAAAGGGAATTCTCTTTGAGTTGATGTTGATGTATCCGTGGATGTGCAGAGACGGAATCGGCGGCGGAGTCTGTGATGATTTCGGATGAAGGTTTGATTTTGGAGCGCTTGGCTTTGCGGCAGCCACCGCCGACGGGAACGTTACGAAGTACGCCACCTCTTGTCGAGTGACGACGGCAGCTCTTGCAGAAATGACGTGGCTGATAGAGGTTGTAGTTGTTGTAGTAACAGAATTTTATGTTGAGAGAGTCGCAGCGGGGACACTTGAGCGGTTGGTGCTGGTGCTGTCGTAACCTACTGTCATCTCCACCACCGCTTCCGCCGCAGAATATACGGTCACCACCTAAGATGGAGTGTATGGCTTGCATTGCTCGCAACAATTTTCGCTCCGAAAAAAAAGGATATTTATTTTTATTCCAAGAAAAATGATAAAAAAAAAGAGAGAAAAACACAGAAGAGTACTGTTTCTTTGAGCTTTGGAAAATATCGTTTTGTATACATGCAAATCTATATGCACTCCATTTCATATAGATATATAAAATTATTGCCATTCACACTGCATTTATTTTTCATTAAGAACACTTTCACAATATAACATGAAGTAGGTTTTGAGGGATTATTAGTCATTTAATGCCATTCTTGTTCTTGTATATGGCTTGACGTGGTTAATCATTGCCTTGGAAAGTGGCATTGTGATGTAGCGTAAATTATAGATTTATAAATTAATTTGAACTCTAGCTCGATATTAGGTTATCTTGATATTGATTGATTGGATTTTAATTTAATGTTAAGATTAAAAGTCTCAAATAGTATAAATCTTATATCAATTCATGAGTTTCTATAATATTTCTACTTAGACAACTTTTTTAAGAATGTAATGTTTGAAAAAATATTATATTTATAACAATAAATAAATAAATAAAATTGCACAAACTAACACTAATCAATCAAAATCGATGCACAAAACAATGCCCAAGTTTGTCAATAATATAAAGACAATATTGTCAATAAACGCACGTAAGCAATTTTCGTTCTTTTTTCATCCTTTTAGAAACAATGGTAAAATATGTAAAATCGAAAATTTTGCTGCTAAGCAAAGATAAGAGAATACATACTTTGTTTTCTTAAGTAGTATTGAACATTTATATTTGTATCCAGCATCTGGCTAAATATGAATTTGAGTAACGTGACCCTTGAACAAGGGAAGGCTACTCCAAAAAATAACGTTAAAAATGTGTAAGCTATACTCTTTTTTTTTTTCAGGTTTTGAGCTTCTTTATGAGTCGATCAGAATCCTCAATAAATCCAACTCTTGAATGTGCCGTCCCTTGATTTGTAGGAGTCTCTCTACTACTCTAAAGCAGAGTAAAAATTGGGAATAATTAGGTTAAAATTACTTATAATAAGAGAAAAATGGAAAGATGATATATATTTTCAGGGCTTTTTCATTATAGGTACAAGTTTGAACATATATGTTTTTAATTATATAAAAAATAAAGATATATATATATATATATATTTAACACTTATCAACCAAATTTAAATATGGATACGATTTTTTGGATAAATATGTACGAATTTATGACATTTACCCTATTCCGGATAACACAGAAGGAAATAAATAAATAGCAAAGGCAATGGAAACAAACCTTAAGTGTGGATTTTGGAGCAGTAGAATTAATACTAGATTGCTTCCCGAGGTCAATTTGCACTGATATGCTGGCATGTGACAAATCCACTCCAGATGTCTGCAGTGCTTGGGTTAGAGTACTCGGCAACCTGTCTCAAACACCATGGTCGATTATTACAACCTCTGTTTCATAAAATGTATGTTTATATAAATAGATCATTCGTCAGATTAAAAATAAAAATGCTTACCCTTGAGAATATACATTTGAGATGCTAATTGTGCCACCTTCAACTGTCAGCTCTTGTACTTTCGGCTTTTTAATTGGAAGAGGACCATTGGTTTCTGCATCAGATAGCAATCTGGATGTACTCTGGGGAGAGGTAATCAAGTTCGGCTGTGGTGACACAAGAAAGGGCATTGCCTTATTCATCATAACAGGACCAAGGTCTATTGGTCTCAACGTGGTAGCTGTGTTCACATCAGATTCTACAGGGTTCGTTGCAGCTCCGGGGATGTTTGGGGCGACCGAAAATGCCAAGGCCGGAGTCGACATGCCATTTATAGCTTGAGTTTGATCAGCATGATCTTCACTGGGTCTTTCGTTGTTGCTCTGTTTTGGATAAGGTCGATAAGTTGTTGATATTCAAAAGCAATTTTTAATTAATAAAATCGAGTATAAAATGTACCCATGGCACCGATTTTGATGGTTCGTGGTTCCATCCTTGATATGCTCCCTCGTATTTGTGTACTTTTTCTTGTAAAAACTGAATGTACTCTATAACCTGTGAGTAGATTGAACACACCATTGTTAAAAGTTTTAAAATTTCGTAGATAGACAAAAAGAACAAATCACAACTATTACAAGAAATCTATGTACCTCTAATAAGAATGAGGCCTTATCCCTCTTTTGATCACTATTTGGCATGATACCTCTTAACATCTGAAATCTGCAAAAGAATCTCTGGCTTTTAATATCTAATAATGATTAGTATTTAGGTTTTGGACTTGAGTGTAAGTGATGAATACAAATATATCTCATATATGAGTTATAATTGTACTTGCCTGTCATTAATTTTACTCCGCCTCCGCTGTTCGGTAGCGGAATGCTTCGATCTTGGGGTGTTGGCCTTCTGATCGGCTGCACTCTTTCCATCCACTTTTACTCTCAGTTCTCCAGCAAAAAGAAGCAAAAACAATAAGGCAATAATATACAGCATTATATTATTCTCACTTATTGGATACCGTTTATATCCAAATCCGAAAATATGTTGAATTCATATGTTCGAATATGAATATTTTAAAAAGCTATGAATGAAGGAAATGGTTATGTTTACTTTGGGTAGTAGTAGAACTCTGTTTCTTGAGAATGAAATCTTCATCCTCCTCAAAATCGTCATATTGTGCGCTACCCTTTGCTGATGTTATCATTGCCATGAAGCTTTTCTGCTTTGATGATGGTCTGGTTGAGATCCCAAAAATACTCTATCAATTTTAAACGAAGAAATAGAAGGGCAACGAAAGAAACGAAACTGAAATTGGACTAACCGAGAGGAAGAGAGAGAGCTGAAACTGTTGTGATAGTTATTTGTTGACGATTGCGATGCTCTCTCCAACGATGATGTGGCCCATTGAGGCTCCTTCCTTGCCGCTTCTGTCAAAAGTATTCGTCAAATTACATTCAATCGTACCAACGTAACGGCTTTTATGCTAATGGAATAAATATTTTTACCTTATGCGTACAAAATTACATCTCATCATATTTTCCACATTTTTATTTGCAAATTTTGGTATTATACTCTTAAAAGTAAACTAATTAATAAACAACTTATTTTCACGGAGTATGATTTTCATAAAAAGTAAAGGAGTAATAATATAAACACCAAGTATTAAGTGTTGAATGCAATGATAATACGTTACATTTTCCACACAAAAAATTATGTCGAACTTAAGATAATATTATAAGTAATAACCATAAGTTTAGAATATGAACAATAAAATGGACAATGGACTCTAAAAAAGGACTAACAATACAAGAAGAATAACAAATTACGAAATATACCCTATTTTCATATGTGGGGATTAAATCATTGATCATATCGTTAAGGGACAAGATGAATAACCACTAGTTACACCTCGTTATTAACAGGTACTTACCTAAATTTGTAACATCGGTGCATGTGGTCATCATTGTCTAATAAAAAACATGCATAAATCCATCAATAATTAGTCGCGTCGAGATCAGTTAGGTAAGCCTTGTATGCTACGAAAGCCCCACCCCACTCACCAACTTGAAACTATAATGATTGCATGCTCATGCAAATGAAATGGGAAACAAACAAAAAGTAGCATTTATTTTAGGTATATTTTAGCTGACATTTTTCTCGTAAATGTAATCTCATGTGCTAATAATGGTGATGCTATATGCATAAGTTTATTTACTTAACCAAAAATCTGTAAGGACTAATTCACTCATGTCCTAGTTATCACGATTATAATCAAATTTGAAGTACTAGAAAAGACCAAGAAAAGTTTTACCTCTTACGGCGGGTGTTTTTCCGGTATTCTCATTCCCTGTCTTTCTCTTAGTTGCTGCAGATTCTTCCCATAGAGTGAAACCACTTCCAGTGTAAGAACTACAGTTGGAAGTTTCATCATTTCTCTCGCTACTACTCCTTTGAGCTACAGTAGTGAATAATGGCCCCTCTGTTTTGTAGGAAATATGACTTATACTGTAAGTTCCAATTCCACCCGGAAGAATATGTTCCACAGAACGAGGTGGTGGTGCCGGAGGTGCCGGGGCCGGAGCCGGAGGCTTCTCAGCCATTGCTTCCTCGACTGGGGTTTCTTCTTTTGCAGTTGCCTTCCCTAGTCGTTCCAGTTGTAGGAAGTCGTGAGTTTTAAGATACCCACCTGCTCATTTAGATGACCAAACAAAGCAAATTTAGGATAAGAAGAAACAGCATTCTAAGTGTTTATACACACATATTTGCATAATTTTTATATGATTTATGTGTCATTGTTCTTAAATATTTATTATCAATATTTATTAGGAAATAGAATTTAAAATTCAACAATAACTCGATTTTAATATATTTTTTAGAATTAGTTCTTTAACGACTGTTGTTCCGAATAATATATCTTCTCTCATTTATTTCATTTCTAACGACGGCCCCTTTGTTTAATTTAATTTCTCATGTGCCCATATAAAGTCTCGATCGGGCAATTCGTTAACGGAAAAATACAGTCACGTGCACTCCACATCCCAGATGCTGAATAAAACTCTATAGATGGCCACCGAAACACACTAGAACATGAAAACAAACTGGAAGTGTAAATTCGGCAAGAGAAGCGTAAAAATATAGTTCAGGAGGTGGAGGATATTGAGTTTTTTTTTAACTATTATTTTTTTCCTTCGGATCTTGAAAATAAGGAAGAGAGAATTACCTTGAGAAGGTGGCCTTGGATCTTGTTGGACGTTTGAATGACTGTAAAGTGACAAAAAGTCGTGCGTTGATTTCCTGCCTGTTCTTCAAAACCAAATTTATTATTAATAAAACCTTTAATTCACACTTATTTCCAGTAAATTTCTGCTGATTTTATTTTCTCGTAAATTTTCAGTAAATTTACATTAGGTGTAAATGGATCTTAACCTTCAAATGAAAGGAAGAAAAAGCCGTGGTAAAGTAAATTACCTTCAGCTTCCAAAGGCCAAGATCGAGGAAGCTCCATCTATGGCTTCAGATTTTTTTTCCTTCTTGGCGGTTAAACTTTGGATCCGAAAATATTAACTATGTAAGATGATTTCTGACGAATAAAATTCAAAATTCTACAGCAATTCGATGATTACGAAGAGTTTGAACTCTAGGATTTGAAGGGAAAAAGCGAAGAGACAATTCTCCAATCCGTATTGCTTTAGATCAGATCTGTTTCACGTCGAGACTCGAGAAAGATGTTCGACGGGAAAATTTACGCCTCCACCTGAGATCGGAGTCGCATTCACAGACGCTTTCAAAATAAAAAGCTTCCAAACAATTGACTTCAGATTCCAAATAATAATAATAATAATCCGAACTCTCGTAGTTTTTTCACCGAGAAAATTCGACAGATTACAGCTCCGCGAGATCTACTCCGCCACTCGTTTATCTGACCGAAAGGCACAAAAAAATTAAGAGAAAAACGGTGGTTTAAACAACTTCAAAAAAACTCAATTATGTATAGTTCAAGTCCAAAACTAGCTAACTAGTCCAAAACAATAACAATCCACGAAACAAAAAATGAAGAAGATAAAGGACATACCTGCTTTGATCTGGACCCAAACAACCAATTTTAAAGTGGAATTTCAGCTGAACCAAAGATTTGAACCAACAAGAACCGCTTATATGAAGATTCTGAACACTGAATTGTATACTCGGAAAGAACAATCGTGTAATGATGCAGCTACGGAGAAAATGAAACTCTCGCTTGCTCTTTCTCTCTGATTTTCTTTATCAATTTATCCGTATACCAGGCTTTTGGCGTCGGAGAAAATGAAACTCTCGCTTGATCTTTCTCTTTGGTTTTCTTTATCGTTCGTCCGCTTTGATTGAGAGATCTTTTATACGCTTTCTATTTCGCGTTATTACTTTTTCTCATATTATATATACCGGTTTCTGTTAACGGCGTTGAAGTAACGACGTTGCGGCTGGGTTGACGACGTTAAGGCTAAGTTGACGGCTTCATTCGATTCTTTTTTCCTTTTAAATGTCATTCGGGTGTGGCATTCTATGGATCACGGAACTCGATGATTTAAATTATGTTTTTTATTTGAAAATAATACTCCACATATATTTTTATTTATTATTTTAATGATTATTCCAAAAAAATCACCTTTTATATCTTTATATACCTCTCAGACACTCTTTCATCTTTATTTACCGATTTAATAATTTTTGTAGAAAGGAATCTTACGTTGATCTGGTGCTACGTGGGGTAAGGCGTGCCCCCTGCAGCGCGTCTTATGCTAACATGGTTACACGCTGGCTAAGGCGCGGGCCCTATGCCAAATAGGAATATAGTGCGGTACATAGGTCGTGCCTTCCTGCAATTATGACACGCGTCAAAAAGACGCGCCCCTATAGCGTCTCTTTCCTTTAATTACCTAATTATCCCGCCCGTTCACACCTCATTCCCTCCCTATAAATACCTCCATTCTCAATCACTTTCATCAAATCAAATCCTCTAAACTTCTCTCAAATACTCTTATAGCTCTTTAAAATATATTTTATTATATTTAGTATTTTGTTAGTAATTTATTTAACTATTTAATTTTTTAAATATTTTATTTAATTAATTTTTTTGCATATATAAAATGGAAGGCGATCTATTTCGTTTGGATGAAAATCATATATCTCGATATTTTGCTGATATGGTAACATTTTAACATTTTAATTTAATTTAAATTATTAGTAATAATTTATTTATTTAATGCATGATTATTAGTTTATAAATTAATTTTTGTAATTATTTATATTTTAGGAGAGCGACCGTATATTAGATCTTTTTATTAGGAACCTTAAGTTAGCGATACTCACACATTCCATCTTCCGTGCGGAGAGTGCACGATTACGCTTGAGGATGTTTCTATGCACTTGGGGCTTTCGGTGGATGGAGATGTGATTTCAGGAATGACGCACGGTAACTGAACTACTTTGTGTCGGGATTATCTAGGAGGTGTCCCGCAAAATTTTAACGGTGGTCGGATACCGTTAAATTGGTTATATGCAAATTTTCGGGAGTTGAACGAGGATGCCTCTGATGATGAGGTTAAAATGTATGCACATGCATGCATACTGTAACTGATAAGAGGGTTGCTGATGCCGGACAAATCACGCAACTAAGTTCATTGTATGTGGTTGCGACATCTTGACGACTTTCATATGGTCAGATCACTGAGTTGGAGCTCGGCAGTTTTGGCTTTCCTGTATAGGGAGATGTGTCGAGCAACTGACAACAGAAAAAATGTTATTGGTAGATGTCTCCTTCTGCTGCAGTCTTGGGCATTGTATCGCTTGCCCATTTTATATTATGTTGTGAAGAATCCATTCGTATTTCCGCTACTATTGAGGTAATTACAAAACTGATTTCGTTTATTAATCATTTTACCCAGTGTATAATAAAAAAATTCCCTGAATAAGTGGTCTACTGACAGGAAAAATCATCGGGAGCTACCTGATGATTTAGAAAAAATGAGGGTGCTAATCGATCAGAAGGCTGGCATAGAGGTATGCATTTTAATGTTTAAAATTCGATTTTTATTATAGTTATATAATTAGATTATTATTTTGATAAAAATTATATATATTTGTTTTAGTTTGAATGGGTTCCATATTTTAATGATGATGTGAGGATATGCATCCTACCTGAGTTGAGGGGCCCATCAGATGTTTGGATGGTGGCGATCCCTCTGATCTGTTATGCGATCGTCGAGTGGCACTCCACTGATCGTGTGCTCCGGCTATTTGGTTTTATACAACCAATTTAGGAAGCACCTCGTAATATGGACGAGTTGCATAGCATATATTGACGCGGCAAGACAGATACAAATTGGCTGGTAAAGCATCATGAGTGGGTAGTGATGTGGGAGGATCGACATCGACCCCTTCCCCATAGAGAGCCCATTTATGATGACCTCTTGACGGTTGCATATGATTATTATGAGTGGTTCAACAGTAACGGGAAACCGTTTCTGCTTTATGAGGATGTACGAGGGCGGAGCTTTTATCGACGTCGACATAGACGTGTGCCGTCAAAATCCCATCGTCCCCCAACTCGTGGACGGAGAGCAGGTGCTTCTAGTTCGTCCTCAGCTGCACCAGCAGGACCTTCACAGTAACCACCATCTGCAGCGACTTACATACCTCAACCATATATGATGCCGCCACCGCCTTTCCCTTACCAAATGTCGCTGCCTCTATCATCACCTAGTTTTATGACCCCGCCGCCGCCACCATCACAGAGTTATATGACCCCTCCTGGAGGATATTATAAGTCTATGTTTGTAGATCTGACTTGGGGTTCATATACTGGTTATTTGGCGGGTGCAGCCTCATCACCGATGGCTGCCGCACAGACACCTCATGTACAGTTTTCACACTCATCAATGTCTGGGTTTTATGAGTTTTCATAGTTATCTATGAGCGATGGGATAGTCAGTCATACACCTCAAGGGTCCTTATTCTATGGAGGTGCTACATCGTCATTAGTTCCTCATCAACAAAATGTATCTGCTCCTGACGACAACGATGATGATGTTGGTGATGATGATGACAACGACGAGTCAGAATTAGTTATACGAAGAAATCCTCCTCGCGAGACAGACAAACACCGCCCTGCGGAACACATTCGCATCGCAGACATCGATAGATTTTGATATTTTAGTATATTTGTTTTTAGTTATTTATTGGACTTTTTATTGTGATTTTTTATTTATCATTTAATACTTACTTTATTTTGTTAATTTGGTTGGATTTTTTTTTAATTATTTTTGTTAATTTTGTTTATTATCATTTAATATCAGTTATTGTAATTTGGTTATTATTTACCATTTAATACTTATTGTAAGTTTGTTGTATTTAAAATTATATTCAAATACCAAATTACTATTAGTTTGATAAAATTTAATAATTGTGTTCGATAACTTTCTTAAGTTTGTCACTTATTATCACTTTTATTATAATCACATACAACGCCAACGTCCAATCTCGTTTTCTTGTATCGTTTTTTTAATCTTCATCAGCGGTTATCGAATGACATTAACTTTAAGTAAATGCAAATTAAAGTACAAGAATTATTATTTGATAAACAACAACTACATCAGTTCCTCATCAATGGTTACTTGATGATAACAGAAGTGGACATGTTCTCCTAGTGTGTCATGAGTTTCTACCACATTTTTTGTCGTGTCTAGATGTTTCTCGAATATCCACATCACAATGAATTCGAGTGGATTTTGGAAGACCACTGTCCCTTAATAAAGTCGGGTCTGGTACAATTGAAACCCAATTCCAAACCTCATTAGGGTCTTCGTCATTACCTATAGGGGGAACTCAAATTCGTTTACCTTAAATACTTCTAATAGTATGTATACTTTAGAGCTTGAAAAAACTCGCAGTCGCACCATATTTCCTATAGATTTACTCTTAACGACACAACTTCAATCCCTTGAAGAGGTTTCGACAACTCTGTGACACGAAACAATTCATGTGTTCTAGAGAAGCTTGTTACAGACATTTCATTTGATGCATCAATTTTTTTTGTAGATTTGCAACTAATCTAGGGTGATAGACATGACCTCCTTGCATCCAGGTTTGAGCTTGTCCCCTGAGCTTCGCAAGAAGCGTCCCCAAACAAAAATATATAGTTTTTACCAAAGCCGCTACAGGTAAGTGATGTGCACCCTTTAAGGTCAAATTGATTGCCTCAGCCAAGTTGGTCGTCATGTTTCCATATCGATATTTACCATCATATGCGTTTATCCAAATTTCTTTATCAATGAGGCTGATGTAATTGTATAATTCCTCGTTCTTCACCCGCAAATCTTGAAGCATGGATTCAAATGTTTGAGGAAGTAGTTCGTAATATGATAAAAAATATAGTACTAACTTTGTTTCCTTAAAAAATGAAAATGATCAAAAGAAAAAAGGTGGTTTTGCTTACCCATACGCACAAGTAATTGACGCTCATAATTCTTCTTGAACCGTCCATGGTAGTTCGCAGCAATGTGTCAGATACAATACCTATTTTGGACAAAGGATGGTTGCCACAATAGACCTAAAGACTCTATTGCTTCTTTGATCTCAGCTTCGTGATCTGAAATGACACAGATTTTCTCTCGTGATAACATGTGAACATAAGTTTCGGAGGAAAAAACCCAAGAATCTGTATCTTCTCCTTCAACGAGAGAAAACGTAACTGAAAGAATGTTTCTATTACCGTCTTGGACAACTGTCAATAGTAAAACTTGCTTGTATTTTCCATACAAGAAAGTCCCATCTATTTGGACCACAGACTTGTAGTATTTGACAGCATTAATGCACTGTGGGTAAATCCAAAAAATCAGGTAGAATTGGCATCGATGGCGAAGAACTCGATCATTATGATATGCATGAGAGGTTTCGAAGTCCACAATTATCCCAGGATTCAACCTCCGCACCAGCCTAAACCAACTTGGAAGTTCGTTGTAAGATGCATCCCATTCGCCGTAAAGTTTTTTAATGGCCATCTGCTTTGCCTTCCATGCTTTTTTGTTTGAGACGGAATACTCATACTGCAATTGTATAGCTGAAATCAACACAACAATAGCTATATAGGAGCTCGCTTTTACCATGGGCATGATGACTTGGCAGATCACTTCATAGTCTAAGTTGGGATGATCTTGGTTGATCCCTCCAGCACAACATGTGTGAG